AGCAATGAGAGAATTTGCTGTTGCATTTAAGTGATGTTAACTATTATTTAACATTTAAACTTATTTTCAGATTTTATTTATTCAAAAAAACCTGGTAAGGGATGTTTTTCTGTATTTGGAGCATCAGAAAAAGTTTTATGGTGGAGGTGATGTTTTAAAGTCACTGAGAAACTGCATGCATGCAGTTTGTTGTTTTGCTGCTAATACAGTAGCAGCTGCAGCTGCATATTTTTTCAATAAAAATGTTATGTTGTAATGGAATTCATGCATTAGTTTTTGTTTGCTTTGAACCCAGAGCAGACGTCACACGCCAGAGGACATCAACACTGCATACTTTAGTATTTGTTCATTTATCTTGAGTAATATCGATATCGCAATATTAAGCACAAGGCCTGATCAGCCTTCCACCTGTTTACACCAGAGACTTTATTCCACTGGAACGTTCTCACATTCCTACCCCTGTGACAGCCCAAAGGTGGTGCATCTCAACAGCATAGCAAAGAGAATACCAGATCATGGACTGTGAAGTGGGACTGCTACTAGTATACTACTGCTCTAGAGCTCTAGTGCCACAACAGGTGGTTACAGGAGGAGATGATGAGCCATATGCTATCAAAACAGATCTGGGCTGGAGTATTGTTGGAGGTTCATCTTGTACTGCTAGGTCTAAAGAGGTCACAGGTTTTTGTCATTGTACACACGTAAAGGAAATACCATCACTGAAACCTGCCACAGTCATCAGAGCTTTAGAAGCAGACTTTAGGGACACAGACTCCGGAGAAAAGAGCATATAACAAGATGACATACATTTCACACACTTTCCCAGCAAAGGAATACATGAAAATGACACAAGACACCTGAAAATGCCATGTCCCTTTAAAACTCGCCCTCAAATGCCTGAAAATCGGCAACTGGCTCTAGCAAAAATAATGCGCCATGGAAATTTGACAAAATTCCCAAGTTCAAAGGTGATTACACAAAATTTATGGACGGTGTCTTCCAGGATAGTGATGCTGAGACAGTAAAAAGTCAACCAAACCAGGGAGATCTGTGGTATCTTCCTCATCAAGGGGTTTATCATCCAAGGAGGCCAGATAAGATTAGAGTTGTGTTTGACTGCTCTGCCCAATATGATGGCACTGCTCTAAATGATCACTTGTTAACTGGTCCTGATCTTACAAATGGGCTGACTGGAATACTCTGCAGGTTTGGCAAAAATAAAATTGCAGTCACCTGTGATGTAGAAAAAATGTTTCACAGGTTTCATGTGAATAAAGAAGACAGAGACTACTTACGTTTTTTGCGGTGGAAAAAAAGGTGATACAAACACAGAGCCAGTAAATGACCGCATTACAGTCCATCTTTTTGGAGCAGCATCATCCCCTGGCTGTGCAAATTATGGATTAATGTACCTTGCTGCTCAGAATGAAAATGAATTTCCAGAAGCAGCCCGGTTCATAAATAGAGATTTCTATGTGGACGACGGGCTTATCAGCGTAGAATCTGTAGATGAGGCCATGAAACTGGTCAAGGAAGCACAAACTGTGTGCGACAGAGGGAGATTGCATTTATACAAATTAATCTCCAACAGTAGAGAAGTTTTAGAATCCATCCCTGAGAAAGAGCAAGTTGTGGGAGTCCAACGTGTGGATTCAAGTTTGATGAACTGCCAGGCCAGACTGTTCTAGGAGTTAAGTGGAATGTCAACACTGACACTCTCTCCTTTACGTCTATCTTGGACAGGAGACCACTGACACGTCATGGAATTCTATCCACTGTCACCTCTGTATTTGATCCCTTAGGCTTTCTAGCCCCTTATCTTCTTGTGGGAAAGAAGATACTCCAGGAAACGTGTCGCAAAAGGTGTTGGATGGGACGAACCATTGCCAGAAAAGTTGAAACCACAATGGGAGGATTGGGTTAAAGATTTTCAAAACTTACAAAAATTCTAATCCCAAGATACTTTGTTCCAGAAGACCTGGGAAGGATTCTGAAAATCGAGCTGCATCACTTTTCAGATGCATGTTGCCATGGTTATGGCAAGTGCACATATCTCCGCCTAGTAGGTGAAAATAGACTGCACTGTACATTAGTCACAGGTAAAGCCAGGGTCGCACCCACTAAAGTGGTGACTAAACCCAGGTTGGAGTTGACAGCTGCAGTTGTTTCCTCAGCAGTCAGCAGGATGCTTATAAATGAGTTGGAGCTTATAATCGATCAAGAATACTTTTGGACAGATTCACAGGTGGTTTTAGGGTACATCAACAATGAAGCCCGCAGATTTCATACCTTTGTGGCCAACAGAGTTCAAAGAATTAGGGAAATGACTTGTCTGACGATGTGGCATTACACTGATAGTGCACAAAATTCAGCAGACCATGCTTCCAGAGGTCTCAAAATCTCAGATCTGATTAGCTCAAATTGGTTTACAGGACCAGCCTTTCTGTGGAAAAGAGAAATTGCCACACCAAAATCAACTCCAGAACTGGTGCTTGGTGATCCAGAAACTAAGACAACACAAGTATTTCACACAGAAACAGTTAAAGAAGACACTTTGAAAGATTTAAAGGATTTACAAAATGGCATACAGCAATCAATGTTGTTGCACGAATTCAGCATCAAAAGATCCCAAAAGGGCAATAAATGCAGAAGACAGGCAGCGGGCAAGACTTACAATAATAAAAGTGGCACAAAATGATGCCATCAAGGAAGAAATACAGATGTTGAGTTTCCCCTTTACCATCCCTTGACCCAACTTGATCCAATAATAAAGGATGGTGTTCTCCGGGTGGGAGGGAGATTGTTCCTCTAGATTTGAAACATCCAGCGATGGTGTGATCACACGCCTGGTTCTAAGTCACTGTCACGAAAAACTCAGCATCAAGGTAGAGGACAGACTCTAAATGAACTAAGAGCAAATGGATACTGGGTCATAGGTGGGAGTAAAGATGTAGCAACCTAAACAATCCATTTCCTGCCATAGAATGCGTAGACCAACTGAAACTCAAAGGATGGCAGAGTTACCAACGAGCCGTGTGGAGCCTTCCCCACCATTTTCTTACTGTGGGATGGATTGCTTTGGGCCATTTTATACCAAACATCACCATCAGACAACGCTGGCTCTCACCAAAGCGAAATGTACAGACTGGTGATATCGTCATTGTGAAAGAGGAAGGGATTCCTCGTAATGAATGGAAAATAGAAAAAGTTATTCACGCCTTTAAAGATGAGGATGGACTGGTGCAAAAGGTCACAATTCAGTTAGGAAATCGAAAGGTGGGGCTGAAAGACAAACTACTCAGTAATCCATCCATTATTGAATGCCCTATTCACAAGTTAGTTGTACTTGTGGAAAACAATTGAAACGCTAAAACGCTAATGTTAGCTTGCCTTGCGTTGACTGTAGAGTTGTGGGTGATGGTCACGCAGATGTGTCATGAGATTTGAAGCGTTGCTGCCTTTCACAGACACTTTTTCTGCACGTGCTGCAAACAGGATAGCCGTCTTCTATCAGCTGTCCCTCTGTATTCTTCAAATATCCAAAAGATGCCTGTACTTCCGGCTTTGAGAGATTAAAAATGTCCTCCTGAGCACTGCCGTCTCCTCCTTTGGCCATTATTTCAGCTTTAGCTTCAAGAAAGTTTTGGTTGTAAACAACAAAGCGCGCATGTGCCGCCGGCAACTTCAGCAGATGATACGGTGGCTGGTAAGGGTCACCGCGCCTACACCGCAGCCACGGTAAACCCACCGAGATAGATTTTTTTTTAAACAAGACGGTTATTATTGTCAACTTTTTTTTACCGGGGTTTACCGCGACACCGGTTACCGTGACAACCCTACCTGATCGGTCTGCTTAGATCTATTTTGAAAACTCCGATCAAAACCGATAGGGGCGCTATCGGCCGATTGGGATCAAATGCCGATCCATCGGTGCATCCCTACCCGCGACCCGCCGGAGGAAGATGACAACGAAATCTTAGTAATTTGGTGGGAGTGTAACGGTCTAAGAACAATTTGTTTGAGACTTACTACTGTGAAGTTAAAGAATACAGGGTTCATAGGATATTGGAATTAAAGTGTTGAAGGTTGATAAGTGTAATTGTGTGTAAAATAGTAATTTCCCATCGTTTACAGTGCACATGAATGCATCACAGTTATATTGTAAATTCTTTACCCGAGGTGCTCATCATAAAGATTTATGATCACTGAAGAAAGGTTATTCTGCATGTGGTTATAAAGGCGCACCCGGTAACTAATTTAAAGATCCTGTTTAATTTATTTAAGATGTAAATATTACCAATTGTGGTGATGTTTATTTCTTTACTTGTGTTACTGTATGGAATTTGAGACCTTTCAGGCTCTAAAAGAGAACTGTAATTACAAGATCTGAGCCAAATGTACTTTATTTATAGTTTTCACGGTGTTGATGGAGAAGAGAAAGATAAAGGCAAGAATTAATCCTCAAAGACACCCGTATGATTCATGGCCATTATTTCGTCTGACATGTGCAGCTAAAACTGGTTTATCTCATTATGGAGGACAACGCAGTTTTTCCCGCACCTATTAAACGTCCCCCGCGGGCTCGGGAATTTCCGCATTCCTGAGAAGTCCCTTGGTTATGTGAACACTACACCACTCGTACTTGACCGAACTAGTAAAATCCAGCCCCATCTAACCCCAACCGTACTGACGCTAATGTGTAAGCGCCATAAGTGTTTTGACCAATTACCGAAAATGCTCTTTTGAGTAATTTTTGGCCAAAGATTTTCGGTTGGAGAATTTTCAGTTCATCCCTAATTGACACACATGAAAGCATTCAATAAATATCATTTTGCTAATGTATCACCATCAAAACATGGTCAGAAATGTCTATGTGCAGAAATAATGACCATTAGGTTATGCTGTTGACAATTTGTCTAGATTAAGCTTTTTTTTTTCCATCTGTGAAAAAGTGAAAATAATTTCTGGAAACATTTTCACCCATGTGGGGTAAGACTTACCTGTGGCAACAGTTTCTTTCATTTCCAGGTGGAACTCATAAATCTGGGCAAGCTGGTGGATCAGCGAGACAGGATTTGTTTCACCATTCCTGTATCTTTTAATCAGCGTTTGGGGTGGCACTCCAGACTTAACAGGAGCACCTTAGTTGGTAAAATTAAGGGGAAACAAAATTAACATTTTAATGAAAAATGACCCACACTTGTATACAGCCTTTCAGAGTCAGACGACTCCAAAGCACTCCAAAACACTACAATGCATCATTCATCCTTTCATACAATGGTGGTGATGAGTTACAACGTAAACACAACTGCCCTGTGGCACACCGACAGAGGCAAGGTTGCTGAGCACAGGTGCCACCAGTCCTTTCGACCACAAGGACACAACAGCAGCTGCATTCTCTGCCAGGAGTCGGGATTGATCCTACCTGTTCCTTTTCATTTTCTTTCCTCCTTCTCGTTTTGTTTAATTCAAATTTTCCAGTTTCCCCGTTTTTTTACAATGATACATTTTTTATCATTTTACAAACGCATTAATATTATATACAATTTACATATAATTTGTTATCGTTTTACTTTTTTGTCCTCGTAAAGTGGCTTTTGACTTTTATCCTCAGAGGTGCGATAAAAAATTGTTTCTTCTACAACCTTCAGTTTACTGGACAATCCACTCGCCTTCCAGATCTAATACTGCATCAAACTAAACTGAATAGATTCAGCAGTAACCTCGGTAAAAATGGGAATTAAAGTGTTAATAAATGTTAGAAATACTGTATGGCAGAATTGCTGCTAATTATAGTGGCCGACTTACCAGGTTTCAGTGCCGGCTTCTCTTTGATACCATGTTTGAAAGGACTGTTCAAGGCAGCTGGTGGTTTGAATGTTTCAGTCAATTCTGCTGTCAAAGGCCCATTTTTCATGAGCACTTTGGAGTAACTGATTCCTCTAGAACCACGACCTGTAAACATCCTAAAACAGAAGGCCACATTTAATATGAAACCAAAACATTTTTAAAGCATTCTAACAGCCATTTACAAGTTGCTTCCAGTAAGAAGACCAGAATGGAAATATTTATATCAAATACCTCATGTAAAACTAACAACTCAAAAAATAGATTCCATAAAAAAATAGGTTAGATCATGAAGTTTTACATTTCCAAATTGTTTTTCCACACATTTTTCGACTAAATGTTTAGGATGGTTGTGCAGCTACAGCTTTTCTGGCTTTTTATAAGTTCAGGATTTAAAAATTTTGTAAAAAGTGTCACTTAAACGAAAAGAAACATTTTAAAACAGGAATTAGCTTCTATGTCGAGCCACTAAGCAAGCTGGGACTTGCTGCAAACACCTATAATTTCTTAGTTTCTAGAAATTGTATCAAAACAAATATTGAAATTTGCAATAGTTTTGTTATGATATTCTTTTTTTTTCCATTACGTTAACACAAACCACTGATTTTTTAGCATCGTCTGATGTTGTTTAGCTTCGGTTCAAAAGCTAAATTAGCCGAACAAAAAAAAATCCAAGTTTGCCCCACTCCCGCGACGCTACTTCGAATACAACGATTGCATTGCCAAAAAGAAACACCATAGATAAAGACTTCATTACCTGTTTTAGTTATGAAAATTATTTGAGAGCTCAAATTAGTGTCCAGTGGTCTGGAGGAGCACACGAGCCGACTCAGGTGTAGCAGTTAACGAACAAAGAGGAAAGACGCCGTTGGGAAATGTACGGAGCACCTTAAGGGCCAATTTTTTAAATAAAATCAAAGGTAAAAATTTGTTTTCAAGGTTGTGGAGTGGTCGTACGATAACATAAATAGCGAGCATACCGGTAGTCTAATAACCATTCCTCAGATAGTGTATGAGTGTTTTATTCTTTGGACATTTTAATTATTTATTTATTTATTTGCCAAACGATTTTATTTGTTTTAGAATTAACAGAGGTATATTGTTTGGAGATTAATTTCAGTTTTTCCACAAATCCCAGCAACAAATAATATAGCAATATTTTTGAACAAGTAATTCGTGTTCTCTGTGTTTAGTTCTTCCATTCAGTCCTGGATGGAAAGTGACCTGATGGATTTAAAATATCTAAAGTCAAGAATAAATAAAAAATAGACCGTTTTCCTTTGGAGCCATCTTAAAGAGCAAGTAACGTCTAAATTAACTTTTTTTTGCTGATGAACTGTATAATTAGTGTCTCATAATGTTTTAAATGTGTGTATTCATTATTTTAGCATTTTGGTGCATTTTCTTTAAAAATTAAAAAATTCTGCCTAAATACCACAGTATAGCGCCACCTTCAGCTTAAAACATAGAATTTGAGTCATTTTGAATAAATTTTAGCCAATAGCTAAAGAGTAAGATACTACGTAAACCAGTAGAGTACTACGTAGCAGCTCTGTGTCAAAGTTATATAAAAGCAACGAGCGTCTCGGCCACGCCTTGTGGCGAGTTGGGAGTTGGATTTGCATGTGAGTGTAGGAGGTTAGCCGTAGTTCAGCATTAGCATATAGCATTAGCAATTCCTAGTCTTTAGCATAGCTTTTAGTGTTATACATACTTATTTGGTGTTGGTTTTGCTGTTGGATTTTGTAGTTTAGTTAGTGTTTGGCTGTTAGTGTAATTAAGAAAGTAGTTCGGGTTTAGTGCTCCATATCGTGTTAGTATGGTGAGAAGGTGTAGTGTAGTGTGGTTGCAGTGGCTCTGTGGGGTTGCACGTTGCACTCCTTTCCGCTGGACTTAGAAATTAGGCGCCAGTGGTTGCGCGCAATTGGTGTCTGGAAAACATTCAGCTCCCGCCTGGTGCTGTAGTTTGCGACCAGCATTTTACCGCGATTCTGCACGTCTCTGTTTGAAGAGGAAGGCTGTGCCCACTGTTGTCATGCTGTGGGTAAGAGCTTTCACCCAGGACATGAAGAATCACATGAGAGGGACGGTGAGTAAAAAGTAAAATGGTTTATTTACAATGAGAAAAATAACAGGAGAGGCAAAACTAACTAAAGGCGCTGCTTCAGATCAGGATCAGGAGGAGACCAGAATCTATGGGGATATAAGCAGAAGGTGAGCGAGACCAGAACCAGAGAACCAGGAGATAAGAGTCTGTGACTGAGAGAGTTCTTACGGTCAGGAATCGGAACGAGAGCAGAGGCGAACTGAGGAAGGTCGGACCAGATGAGGAGTTCAGAGCGTGAGGCAGGCGGGCAGACGCGAAGAGAGGAGTCCAGAGGATCTTTAAGCGGCGAGACGTGGGAACAACTCCAGGCAAGGTAGGTGATGCACGAACAGGATACTGGAACGGAGTTCAAGGTTATAAACATGGAATCACAAAGAGAGCAGGCAGGTTCAGAGGCTAGAGACTACCCATGTGAGAGTATCAACCGGCACTGGAGTTGAGTCACACCGCTCCTTAAATCCTCTGTCCCTCAATTAGTAAAACTCCAAACAGGTGTGCCATCTGCCGCGCCTACCTGCAACACAAAACAGAGAAAATCCACCAGTAGGTGGAGGCAAACCGTGACAGTGCCCCCCCAAGGGACGCCACCCGGCGGCCCAGCAGAGGAGGGGGAGGCGGAGGAGGAGGAAGCACGGGAGGCCTCGAAGTCATCAATGAGGGAGACATCATCGATCCAGGTACCCACTGCCGGTGTTCGGGTCCGTAGCCCTCCCAGTCCACCAGGAATTGCCTGCCACCGACCCCGCGGTCGGACATCCAGGATGCGATGCACACGGTAACCGACACTCCCGTTGGCGAGGCGGACTGGCGGAGGTGGAGCGTCAGGAGGGCACAGAGGGCTGGACACCACCGGCTTGAGGAGGGAGACATGGAAGACTGGATGCACCCGCATGGAAGGAGGCAACTCCAGGCGGACAGAGACCGGGCCCAGGACTTCGGCCACAGGGAAAGGACCCAGGAAGCGAGGAGAGAGCTTCCGGCAGGACCCACGAACCTTGACGTCCCGGGAGGAGAGCCAGACCAACTGACCCGGAGTGTAAGTGGGTGCAGGCCGCCTGTGGCGGTCAGCGATCCGGCGATTGCGCTCCGCAGTACGTTGGAGCGCGGCACGGGTCTGAGTCCATGTGCGGCGGGCTCGGCACAGGAACTGAGGGACTGAGGTGGAGGAAGCAGAGTCGGAGGGAAACAGAGGGGGTTGGTACCCAAGCGAGACCTCGAAGGGAGACTGACCTGTGGATGACGAGGTGTGGGAGTTAAGGGCGTATTCCACCCATGGAAATTGCGCACTCCATCCGGCAGTTGGAGGAACAGATGCAGCGCAGCATAGCCTCCAGTTCCTGGTTCATGCGCTCCACCTGCCCGTTAGTCTGTGGGTGAAAACCGGAGGTGAGACTAACCTTGGCTCCCAGGTGTTTAGCGAAGTCTGTCCATACTCGAGCAACGAACTGGGGTCCACGATCAGAGAGGATCTCGCTGGGTAATCCATGCAGGCGGAAAAGATGTTTGACGAGCAGGTTGGCTGTCTCGGTAGAAGAAGGAAGGGATTTCAGGGGAACCAGATGACAGGCTTTTGAGAAATGGTCGACAATGGTGAGTATGACAGTGAAACCCTTAGACAAAGGGAGGCCAGTGACGAAGTCCAGAGCAATATGAGACCATGGTCGATGGGGCACGGGCAGAGGTTGGAGAAGACCCTGAGGAGGCTGATTACTCGACTTGTGTCTGGCACATACCTGACAGGCACTGATATACTCCTTAACATCCTGGTACATGGAGGGCCACCAAAAAGTCCTTCTGATTAAAGAGATGGTTCTCCCCAGACCTGGATGAATGGAAAACTTGGCGGTGTGGGCCTAGTGAATGAGTGGACCACGAGTGCTGGTGGGAACAAAAATCTTATTTGGGGGACCGGTACCTGGATCAGGTTCCTGCTGCTGGGCCTCCAGGACCTTGTTGGTAATGTCCCATGCAATAGAGCCGACTATGCAGGAGGCAGGAAGGATGGTGGAAGGCTCTACTTCTCTGTCGGAGGCATATTGTTGAGACAGGGCGTCTGGTTTAATGTTCTTTGAACCGGGTCTGTAAGAAATGGTAAAGTTGAATCTGGAGAAAAACAATGACCAACGAGATTGACGGGGATTAAGTCTTTTAGCCTCCTTCAGGTATGACAGGTTTTTATGATCTGTCCAGATGGTAATCGGGTGCTCTGCTCCTTCCAACCAGTGACGCCACTCCTCCAAAGCCAGCTTAACTGCCAACAATTCCCGTCACCAACGTCATAGTTCTGCTCGGCTGGGGAAAGGCGGCGGGAATAGAAGCGCAGGGATGGAGAAGCTGATCTGAGGAGGAAACTTGGGACAGGACAGCCCCAACCCCGGTGTCAGAGGCGTCAACCTCCAAGGTAAATGGAGCAGATGGATCCGGGCGAGTGAGTATGGGTGCGTGAGCAAATCTCTCCTTTAGAGCAAGAAAAGCTTGGTTAGTCTCCTCGGTCCATAGAAATGGTCTTTTGATGGAGGTGAGCTGGGTTAATGGAAGTGCTGTCCGGCTGTAGTCTCGAATGAATCTGCGATAAAAGTTGCCAAAACCTAAGAACCTCTGGAGCTGCTTACGGGTAGTCGGAGTGGGCCAGGACGCGACAGCAGCGATCTTATCAGGATCAGTTCTTAGTTTCCCATTTTCTAGCACAAAACCCAGAAATTTTACAGAAGGAACGTGAAACTCACATTTCTCCGCCTTAACGTACAGCCGGTTCTCCAGGAGGCGCTGGAGCACCGCGCGGACATGTTGGCGGTGTTCAGTTAAGTTCTTGGAAAAAATGAGGATGTCGTCCAGGTAAACTGTCACAAACTGGTTAATGTAATCGCCCACTACGGAGTTGACTAGGGACTGGAACACAGCAGGAGCGTTGGTGAGGCCAAACGGCATTACTAAATATTCGAAGTGGCCCAAAGGTGTCTTAAATGCCGTTTTCCATTCGTCACCCTCACGAATTCTGACCAGATGGTAGGCGTTGCGCAGATCTAATTTTGTAAAGATTGAAGCATCATTAACGGTGTGGCGTTAGGAAGTATAATGGTCTGCCCTTAACAGCTGCCCCTTCACACAGTAACACCGCCAAGGTCGGATGCTTGGTTCAGTATGTTTACATTCCAGGAGAAGAGACAGAAGAACAGAAGAACGCTTTTCATGGGTTAATCAAAGTACTTCATTTGTGATAAGCTAATCAAAGCATTTGTTGATCATTAATAATCAAGTGAATGATCTGTGAAATAAAGATGTCATGAGTTATGTGTTTAAATGAATAAACAGGGCTGCCCCAGACACACTGATATGCATTACCATGGAAACGCATGACACATTGTTTTCAACCAATCGGAACTTTCGCCTGTGGTAGGGCAGAATCTGGTTTGTTTATGAAAGTAGTCCAATCCGGTTTACTAAGATTCTTAAACAAATGGGAGATATAAAAAGAAGGCAACGCCATTTTAAGTCGGTTCCACGTTACGTTCGACTTTCAGCAGTTACGTATTAAACTCAGCTCCAGGACATCCGAGTTCCTAAGGATTTCCATCGTCATCATTAAGAAGTTCAGACTGGCCAGCTGGACTTCCTACTTTGAGCTGAAATCTGTCAAGCTTGAGATTTTCTGTCGTTTATGCCAACGAGACGACGGTCCTTCAAAATAAGAGTGAACTTGTTGACGCCTGCCTATACTACCTGAGTCGACCCTTCAGACAGGCGTTGTGTGCTGTGACCGCTGTTTCAACCAGCTCCAGTATC